GAATCTATGAATCTATGAATCTATGAAAATACTCTTTCTTCAAATTCCCAGACATGTCTTTTTCAGAAATTTCATTGAAACTTGAATGATAATAAATAGAACCATCTAGTACTTATGTAGTGCTTTTCATCCATACATCTCATTTACACAGGAGGGACTATACTGCTTTGCAAGACCTTAAAAATAAAATAGCTAAAATGTGACCTCAATCCATAAGTACTTAGATACATTCTTGAAAGCATGATCATGAACAACATGACAGGATCCTTGGTTTGAAGATTGCAAGCTATGATTTGAAGAGTTCTTCTACTGACTATGATGTCGTGATTTCTGAAATCATCAAGGAAATTAAGTCCTGCTCCTTAATATTGTTAACCCAGTATACGTAGCTGGAATCCATTGTATATGGCTTGTGAAAACCCAGGAAAGGTGAAAATACATACACCAGAAAAAACAGTTATTCACCTTTTGTAACTGTTGTTCTTCAAGATGTGTTGCTCCAATTAGGTGACTCCTGAGCCTTACGTCGGAAGTGGGGTCTGAGTCAAGGTATTGCAGACTGGAGAATCGCCCTGCCGAAGGCTGCATCATCATGTGATTGGTGAACGATGGCGTAGTGTGACGTGAAGGTGTGCACCGAACTCCATGCGGCAGCCCTGCAGATGTCCTGGAGGGGTACGTGTGCCAGGAAGGCTGCTGATACATGGAGTGAGCCGTGACAACAGGCGGAGGGACCTTCGCTAAGCCATAGCAAGCGTGAATACACACCGTGATCCAGGAGGATATCCACTGGGAGGAGACTGGCGAACCTTTCATTCGCTCTGCTAGAGCAACAAACAACTGGGTTATTTTGCGGAATGGCTTCGTTCTGTCTATGTAGAAGGCGAGTGCTCTTCTAACGTCCAGCGAATGCAGCTGCCGCTCATGTAGGGTGGGTGCAGCTTTGTCCCTGGCCCTGCCCTGGGGGAGGACGCGATGGTCTGCGCCTGATGTATCTACTCCCTCCTACCAAGTCCTGCCTGGGTCTAGTGGGGAAAGACGGCTGCTGGGAGGGCTGGGGTTTAAACGGCTTTCTTTGAGTCGCCGGGGTGTGCATGCCGAGAGACTTAATTGTGTTCCTTGAATCTTTCAGGCTATGCAAACTAGAGTTGGTCTGTTCAGAGAAAAGCCCCTGACCGTCAAGCGGGAGGTCTTGAATAGTCTGCTGAACTTCTGGCAGAAGACCTGAAGACTGAAGCCAGGCATTATGCCGCATGGCAACACCAGATGCCAGCGTACGTGCCGCCACATCCGCGGCGTCCAGGGAGCCTTGAAGAGCAACCCGGGACACTATTCTGCCCTCCTCAGCAATGGCGCCCAGCTCCTGCCGAGAGTCCGATGGGAAGAGCTCCTTGAACTTTTGGATTGCAGACCAGGAGTTATAACTGTATCTGCTAAGAATCGCGAGCTGATTAGCAATCCGTAGGGAGAGGACACCGATAGAATAAACCTTCCTCCCAAAGAGATCCAGACGTTTCGGGTCTCTTGATTTAGGGGCGGGCCCTTGCTGGCCCTGCCTTTCTTTTTCGTTTACCGCATCCACCACCAGGGAGCACGGGGGGGAGGGAGGGATGGGTAAAAAGGTATTTGAACCCCTTAGTGGGGACAAACTACTTTCTTTCGGCCCCTTTGGCTGTGGGAGGAACAGAGGCCGGAGTTTGCCAGATTGTTTGGCATTTGACTGGATGGTCTTTATAACAGGCAGTGCCACCCTAGAGGGCCCTTCTGTTGTCAGAATGTTCACCCCAGGGTCCTCTTCTTCTACTACCTCCTCCACCTAGAGATTCATATTTAAGGCCACTCGCCGTAGGAGTTCCTTTAAAGCCTGATAGTCCATGGATGGAGGGACGGATGTAGATGTACCTGCCACATCGGGAGAAGACGAGGAGGTGGCAACCGGCAGGATCGGGTCCAAAACAGCCCCTTAGTCTCCACCAGGGGTGGGGCTGGGTCCAGCGATTGAGTGGGATCCGGAGGAGGACGACTGATGGTTGCCTCGGGAATACAGGACCCAGAGCGTGAAGGTGGAGGGACGCCTGGAGGAGCACCCTGGGCTTGATGGTACGCCCAGGGGGTCCAGAACTGCCACTGGGGCTGCCAGTGGGGCGCTGAAGTGTCCCATCCGATAATGCCCGGGCCTGATCAAGGTACCTCCGATGCCCCTGATGCCCTACTCAACCTGAGGGAGGGTGACTGGAAGCGGGACGGCCAAGGAGCGGGAGCGGCTCCAAGGATCAGGGCTGTGGGACCAGTGCTGCGACTCAGACCGTGGCCGCGAGTCAAACCGGCATGTAGCATGGGTGCGGTGCCGGGAACTTAAGAGTGGCACGGTGATACTGGTCTGGGGACCAATGGCCCAAAGAACGCCAGTTCGCCTCTTGGCAGTGCCGGGGCTCGAGATGGTGTAGGCCTCGAGACCGGGGACTTGGGCGCCGTCATCTCAATGAGCCCTATGGCGGCCTCAAAGGTGTCGGGCGTGGCGGGCAGCGTGACCTCCTCGACCTGCAGTTGCGGGGAATCCGGCGATGCTGGGCTTCCCTGGGGGGCGGGGGCCCGTGTGGGGTGAGGACTACTGGGAAGCATGTCGGCCTTATGTTCCTGGTCCGCACCATGCCCTGCCGGGGGTGCAACTACCGCCTCAGGCCTTTGTGGAGGCTTCTCTGTGGCCTGCTTCTTACGGCTGGTCGGGGAGTGGGAGCGGTGCCAGGGAGAGCTCTTTTGGGCCCCGGGAGACCATCGGGCCTTAGAGGGGCATGCCGAGTCCTTTTCTGGCTCTGCAAACGGCACCACTGGAGGGGCGCTCCACACCGAGGCGCTCAGGGCCGAGTCTTGAGGCAGACGAAGGGCAGACTCCATGAGGAGTTGTCTCTCCTTTCTAGTGCGAGGTTTAAATGCTTTGCAAATCCTGCACTTATCCGCCTGATGGGCCTTTCCCAGACACCGAAGACAGGAGTCGTGGGGGTCGCCCGTGGACATGGGCTTGCCACAGGAACTGCAAGGTTTGAAGTCCTGGGATGGCATGCCCCGTAGGGCACTCCTTGAAAGGGGAAACCCCTTCAAGTGTTAAACAACTATACTTAACACTAAATATAACAAAAATCTAACACTTAACTAACAATAGGGTAACTATACACAGAGATAAGTAAAGTAGCTAGGGAGTAATGGAGCACTTGCGAACAAGAGACCACTGTTCCAACAACTGTCACTGGCGGTAAGAAGGAATGGAAGGGGGCGGGGGGGTCGAGCTGGCAGGGTCATATATAGAGCACCATATCAGCACCATCCAGGGGGCTCCACAGCCGGCCTGACGGGTAGCTGCTAGGGAACAGTTTCCAACATCTGTGCACGCAGCACGCGCACACACCTAACTGGAATTGATATGAGCAAGCACTCAAAGAAGAACTTATTTACACTGACTGGCTGCTTTAAGAGAGAATCGGCTCCTAAGGAGCCGCTCTTCAGCAAGTTTCAATGCTCTGCATGGGGATTTAATCACATTAGTGGAAGTCACAGGGAGGAATCCATGCATAACATACTCAGAATTAACGCCAAGGGCCATACAGCATTTGTGTGTCTTTGTTGTTGCTATCCATATCAACTCAGTCTGACATATATACACAACACAAAACAAGGGAGGAAAAGTAAGCTCTATTTATTCATCACACATAACCAACCCCATGGATTACATCTGTAGAGATGGGAAGTTTCATACTTGCCTCAATGACACATATTTGTGGCTCTTTCTTGTCACTGTCCACAGGAACCTTTGCCTGATTCATCACCCATTCTTGTACAACATCAGTAACGTGTGGAACAACTGCAAGGCAAAATGAAAAAAGGAAGCACTTCCTAATGTAGGACCACATACTGCTTCCTACTTAGAGAGGAGAGAAAAACCCAGTGGGGTAATTGAGCTGGTGGAATGAAAGGGGGTAGAAGTCCCTCCAGAAGACTAAAGTGTGGCCAAATCTTGTTGGCAAGGAAGAAGGGTTGAGTCAAGGCAGCAAAGAGCACTTGCTCTATGCAGTATGCCCCCTCTGAAACTTGAGTGGATGAGCATGCCAGCACGTCCAATGTGAATGACTGCATGCAAATTTAAAAGGATGTTCCTGAATATTTATAGCTGCAACTGAAATTTGTTCTTTGTAAACATATATGCAAGTAAAACTTGATTACTGGAATGCAAATGAGAAGCAAACTGCTCCTGGATCATCTGGAGGACAGAATGATTTGCTCAACTAGAAGAATAGGCAGCTTCAGCATACTTACCTACTATACTCAAACTGTCTTTGACCTAAATTAATTTACAATTTCAGTTGTCCCATTTATCAACAAAATTGTCATAAATCCAGGAAAGTATTTGAAGTGACCACTTCATTCACATTAATCCAGTAATGCAAATATGTCAGTATCCCTCTGAGTGAATAAAAGTTACCCGTGTAATTGTTCTAAACAGTCTTTATTAGAAACTCAACTAATCTGCATGAATTTAAACTACATGGAAAGTACCTTGAACTGTCTTTCCCAAGTAATCTCCATGTCTTTCTTTATTGATTACATGTTGATAGATCTTTCCAGTGGTGATGTTATTATCTTTATATAAGTTGATGTCCAAGAATCTTTCATAATTTCCCAAGTCTAAGTCAACTTCTCCCCCATCGTTTAGTACAAAAACTTCACCTGAAAAAGAAAATGAAAAGGTAAAAAATAAATTGTACTGGGATTTCCTCCTACATTAACACATAGAAAAGCAATGATTACAAATTACTAAATAAATGGCAGGAATCCTGCAAACATAATAAATACATTTTAGTAAAGGTGCTATATAAATAAGCGCAATGAAATGCAGTACTTTATTTCAATTATGTTAATTATTTTAGGCTCAGATTTGGGGTAAAATTTGCATGAGTGACTTAGCAACTTTTGAAAATTTTACTCCTAGTTTTGATTCAGTTGTTTCAGCATAAACATCTGGATCATCATACCCACAGCTAGGCTCTTATCCAAAGACCACTGAAGTCAGTGGAATCTTTCCATTGACTTCAAAGAGCTTTGGATCAAGCCCAGAGCCTTTTTTCGATCTCTAAAGATGCCTCTGTTAAACATCAGCCTGTGAGGGAACCACACCTGTTGCCTCCAACATGGTTCCATATGAAATCAGATGGGAAAGTGCGTTGGCAGAATTGAAAAGTACCTCAGCAAGAGCACTGCTCTTACACATCAATGACTGGATAATTTGCTGGATTCATATTGTAGCAACAAAGATAAAATCTTTTGAAGGTAAGCTCTAGAATGTGTAAATACACAGTTGCAATGTAAAACCGTGTTCATCAGGATATCAAATTCTCTCTGAACAAATAATGAAAGAAAATGCACTGCACAAGAGGGTAGATGATTTACAATCTGATTATGTGAGATGCTAAATTCCTCCAGTGTGCTATTAATTTCCCATTTAAATCACGGGGGCTGAGTACACCCACCACCTCTCAAGAGCATGCTCTTTGAGAATAAAGAATGAGGAAACTTTGGCTAATTGGAAATCATGAAAAGATTAACTTGGGAACTCTGAACTGTGGGTTCAGCTAGCTAAAGTTACATTGCTGGCAGCATTTTGATCAAAGGAATCAGTCATCCTGGTGTCTGCTAGGAGGTTACTGACAAGCAAAAGTGAGTGTTGCATACAGAGCTGTATTGATTAGATGTAAAACTATTGATACAGAAGGCTACTTTGCAAACTTCAAGGAAGACTTAGAATCTGGTATACTGTAATAATGGGGGAAAGCTGGCATATTTCCAGACTACACAGCCTACTCTTTTAGAGCATGACCCAATACCTATTCAATCAGTGAGAGTTTTTCCATTGATTTCAACGGGCATTGGATCAGGCCCTTAAAGAAGAGCAAATGTTTTGGGATTGTAAAAAATAACTGATTATATGATCTAAAGGACTGAAATATGCCTTTCTGTCTCCCATTAGATGACATTGGGGCAAGGAAAGAGGACAGATTTATATATTTCAATCACCTGAAAAAGTCTAAACATTTATTGTAACCAAAATGCCACACTTACATTAACCTGGATGCAGACAAGATGGGAAACAAGAAGCCATGTAACTGTTCTCTCTATTTACATATAGATATATTTAGACCTTGTTTTTTACATCCAGTTTTGACTTAATGTCCCATTTTCGGCACTAATGTGAGCTGCAGGAAGTCAAACCTGACGGACACTGTCCCAAGGTTTAGGACAGGGGTGGCCAACTTGTGGCTCCGGAGCCACATGTGGCTCTTCAGAAGTTAATATGCAGCTTCTTGTATAGGCACCGACTCCGGGGCTAGAGCTACAGGTACCAACTTTCCAATGTGCCGGGAGATGCTCACTGCTCAACCCCTGGCTCTGCCACAGGCCCTGCCCCCACTCCACCCCCTCCCCTAAGCCTGCCGTGCTCTCGCTCCTCCCCTCTCCCCCACAGAGCCTCCTGCACGCCATGAAACAGGTGATCGGGAGGTGTGGGGAGGGAAGGGGAGGCGCTAATCAGCGGGGTTGCCAGTGGATGGGAGGCGCTGGGAGCGGGGAAGCGGGAGAGCTGCTGACATATTACTGTGGCTCTTTGGCAATATACATTGGTAAATTCTGGCTCCTTCTCAGGCTCAGGTTGGCCACAGGAGAATGACACAGTGAGTGGAGATGGGCAGCTCTATGGCATAGGCCAGGCTAAAATATAGCCTACAAAGGCTTAGCCCTGGAGCAGGATTTTTTCCCTTTTATTTCTTTTTCTTTTCTCCTTTTTTAATTTGATCCTTTTATATTTCACAGGTTTAAAAAAAAAAAAACACAGGAGTTCATCTTATGTGGATGCTTTCTGTCATCTGTTTAATTCAAATATTAATATGTTTTAAAATACATATGGCAAGAGGTTAGTCCATAAAAATAATAATTGCTGGTATTCTTTTTAAATTATTAATTAATAAAAATCTAATAATATTCATATCTTCATAAAAATGAGGGCAAAATTCTGCCCTCAGTTAAACTGCACAACCTCAGTGCAGAACACAGAATTACATGAACATAATCTAGTGCAAAATTTGTCCCCCTCATTTAAGAAGTCACCTACTGAAAATTTACACTAGCTCCCAGAAATATGTTTCAGTAATGTAAACAGGTTTAATTAATATTTGTAAAAGCATTTTGAAGATTATGAGTGCTATTATATTATTATTATCAGCAACAAGTACATAAATAGACTTTTTAACTTTTAGTTGATAGTACGAGCTATTATAACCTATTGTTAAAGGATTGGTATGTATTTAGGCACACAATGAAATCTTTATTAAAAATATACTAGTTCGCATACAGCAGTCAAAGGAACTTTGCTTTATCACCTTTGGTAAAAATTTCACTAAACTGCTTGTTCTAGATATAGCTTTTTATATCTGAAACAGGATTTTCTTTTCCTTTATAATAAATGCACTCTTATTTACTTACTTTTTCATTTAAATGAATATCTCTAGTGATAATTTCCAGTTACACATGTAAAAAAAATAGCACAACTTGACACTTATGAGAAATCGGGACTTAGGTCCAGATTAACTTGAGGTACCCATATTTAAAAAGTACAGCCTAAACAATTTACCTGTAGCCTATAGGTATTGGTAGATAAGACATAGGTATAAGTTAAGGCATAATGCAATGCGCCTAAAAGCCTCTAGGCCTGTAAGACAATAGCTTAGCTCAGCATTTTCCAAATGTGGACACCATGGCCACATGCAGCCACCAGTGAATTTTTTTGCCACCACAACAGCCTCCAAAACGTGGGTGGAGATTGGAGACGACAAAGCAGTGGCCCCTCCCTGCCGCGCCCAGCTGTTGCTCCTGAATAGCTGTTACCAAGGGCAGCGAGATGCACCGCCAGGATTTGGGCCTTGCACCACGCAGCTTCCTCCTCATGGGTGCCAGGCAGCATCTCTGGAAACACATAGGGCTAATGTACACGGCACTGGAGGTGGCTCTTGTCAGTGGAGGTGGCTGCAGCATTCGATCGCTGGGGCACTCTCAAGCAGCTCCCCTGCTCACACCCGATCTGGGCACGGAGCCTAGGATTCCACAGGTGAACAGTGAGTTCTTGACCCACCTTCCCTAGGGTGGGATCTCACTGAAGGGCCATGGGAGGCAGGGACAGAGAGACTGGTCAGTGTTTCCTCTGCCTGTTTACAGATGCTGTGGTTACCGCAGTAGCTCAATGGCTCAGGGCTGCTTCAGGGCTTGGCAGCTTCCCAACAGGGTGAGGGGCTCCCGCTCCGTGACACCCTCCGAGCACTAGAATAGGAACAAAGTCTGGGTGCACTGAATTGGTAGCTCTACTTCCTATTACCTTTCTATTACATAAATAAATTACAATGATTTGGACGTATATGTGTGCACATTTCTTTGTTTTTTTCCTAAAGTTAATTAAGTATTTTAGGAAAAATTGTCAGAGCAGCCACCGCAAGAATTGGTGGACACACGCTGAGACCACCAAAAAATTTATTTTGAGAACCCCTGGCTTAGCTAAACTAATCAAGGCCTAAGGCCCAAAAAGCTAACCAGGAGTAACCCTAGATAATAAGATATCACAAGACAGACTGCTTTAATAAATGAGTATGATTAAACTGCTGACAGGTAACCACAAGATGTCAGTTTATACCAGCTTTAGATATTTTAAATTAGGAACATCAGCAGATATCCAACCACAAGAATGCCATAGTCACTAATTGATGAATATGCTAATAAACTTGAGGTAAAAGGCCTAGTAACTTACGGGAGAAGAGTACCCCAACTTTAGTAGGGTGAGAAAATACAGACAAGGAAAAGGGGCTGAGACCCCTACTGAATATGCGTTAGGCACAGTGGGAATCAACTGAACACATAAAAACTGCATTTCAGCCAGCGTGCCTTGGAAGAGGCCAGGACGATGACTGCTGGTAAGGATGACAATGAGGATGATGACTAACATTTTGGGTTGTTCTGCAAGAGACGGTGTGAGTATATGGATGCTCAGACACTCATTTTATATTATTTCTACCCTCTTCACGGAGTTGAAGTGTTTGTGATATTGCTAACAGTGCTAATAAAAATATTACAAAGACACATGCATCCGAAGAAGTGGGTATTCACCCACGAAAGCTCATGCTCCTATACGTCTGTTAGTCTATAAGGTGCCACAGGACTCTTTGCTGCTATTACAAAGACAGAAGGTCTTTCCTAAGTGTGAGTGTCTCCACTGTGCACACCAGGGTTCTCATCATTGTGATAACTCTAATACTTCTGGGTCTGATCAGGAGCCAGGACCCTCTCAACCCACAGAATGTTATTGGGATTTCTAATTAATCAATATAATTAATACACACTCAATAGATCAGGCAACATACCTAAGGCCACCCAATGAGGCAATGGCAGAGCCAGGAATAGAATCCAGTTCTCCTTAAGTCCCAGCCCTGTGCCTATCTATTGGACTAGGCTGCTTCTGCATTGATATCTCAGCTACCCCCTTTCAAGTGCTGCTCTGCTATTTCGTAAGTCATATTTCCCTCTGACTTAAAAAGCAATAGTTCAGTTCTTCAAAGCACCTGCCTTCTGGACTTTGAAATTGACAGGACCCAGTTCTGAATTTGATTCCTGTGGTGAATAAGCCCCTTTTCATT